AGGTGCCACCTATGCTGTACTTGTGCAATTGGTTTTTCTTGCCTAAATGTAGAACCTTGCTTTTTTCACCATTGAATTTCATTTTGTTAGATAGTGCCCAGTGTTCAAGTCTGTCCAGATCCTTCTGTATCTTAAGCCTGTCTTCTGGAGTGTTGGCTATTCCTGCCAGCTTGGTGTCGTCTGCAAATTTGATGAGTTTTGCTGAAGAACGGAATAGAAGAACTTGGAGACTGAATGAAAATTTATTTAGATATGATATTAACGTGCAGAAATGTAGAGATCAATTGAAAGAATTTTTCTTGTTAAATATGTTTAAAGGTACTTCAATCTCAATGGTTTGGGATGTGAGCAAAGCGTATATGCGAGGTAATTTGATTTATATGAACAATTTTTATAGGCGTACACAAATGCAAAAACGTAAAGAGTTAGAGGAGGAAATTAAATTAAAAGAGCAGGCATTTATGTTAAACCCACTGGATAATAATTTGAAAATATCTTTAAAGGTGCTTAGGGACCAATTTAATATGTTAATAGCAGATCAGACTGCAACTAGTTTAAGGTATATGAAACATAATACATTTTGTAACGCAAATAAACCTGGAAGGTGGTTGGCTTATCATTTAAGAAAAAAGCAAAAGTCAAGGACTATAGAGAAAATAGACTATAATGGTAAATTGACATATCAACAACATTTGATTAAAAAGGCTTTCTTAGATTTTTATTCTAATTTATATGCTTCAGAAAATATATGTTATGAAGATATAGATAAGTATTTACAGCAGGTACACTTACCTAGGTTGTCAGACACTCAAAAAGAAAAATTGAATTGTTCAATTACACTGGAAGAGATTAAGGTGGCAATTAAACAATTAAAAGTTGGTAAAACTCCAGGTACAGATGGATTGACAGCAATTTATTATAAGATGTTGTCTGAGGAAATGATAGGGCCATTAAAGGAATTGTTTAACAGTATCTTGATGGGTAAAGAAGTACCTCCATCATGGAGAACTGCTTTTATATCTTTAATTCCTAAGGATGGTCAAGAATNGGTAGAATTGGACTCAGAAACAGAATTGGTTAAGGATTGTATGATAAAATGGGCACAGAATATACAAGAACCGATCCTATTGGAAACATGGGAGAAAATTTGGATTAGAAATGTAAAATTTACTCAAGCCCAAAACTTAAGGGAAAATTTTTATAAAATGTTTTATAGGTGGCATCTGGACCCACAGAAATTGTCTTGTATGTATCCTAACTTACAACCTAAATGTGGGAGATGTGGAAATTTAGATGCAACGTATTTTCATATGTGGTGGACGTGTAAGGAGGTTAAAGTATTTTGGATTAAGATTTGGTGGAATATTCAAAATATTTTTAAGAAAAAGATAAAGTTTAAACCACAGATATTTTTGTTGGGTATTTTGGAAGATTTGGACGCAAAAGAAGTGGAGTTGATGTTAAATCTTATAACGGCTGCAAGATTATTAATTGCTCAATATTGGAAAATGAAAGGTTTACCTACTATAGAAGATTGGGTAGTTAAAGTCTCAAATCTAGCTGAGATGGCCAAGATTTCCGCTTATGTGAAGGATTATTCACAAGAAAGATATAAATTGGTTTGGAGAAGATGGATCGATTATATTGAGTTGAAATATGCTACAAAAAAATACCATTTGGTTTTTGAATGAATTTTTGATTTTATTTATAATTATGTTAATTTGATGGTATTCAATAACTGTATATTTGTTTTAAAAGAGAGTTAAAGGAAGTTATAGAATTGTTAGATTAATAGTTGATTAATGTTAGTTAGATCATGATTATTTTATTGTTAATCCTGTGATTGGCTCTGGGAAGGGAGGGGGGAGGGATGGAGGGTTGGGTTTGGGGGGAGGGGGGATTTATTGTGGGAAAACCGGGACCTGAGTCTCCCGGCTTGGTTTCAGACCTCGTCCGGGGGCTGATTCATGAGTTGTGATATGAAGACACCACACCAGGTTTCCTCGGGATGAGATCAGCTCAGAACAGTCTCTGGGGACCTCTTTTATTAGCAATCATAACAAAGCAAATTGCAGGCAGAAGGCTTTTGCAGCAGGGGGGTGAGGGTTACAACAGTGGGAGTTTTGGAGGTTAGAGACAGAGAAAGTTTTACAAAATGTATCTTATCTATTACATGGCTTATACAACTAACAGTTCACATTAAAAGTTGCCATTGTGGTTCACATTGGAAGGTCTTATCAGGAAGTGATAATATTATAGCTTGTGTAGACAGCTTTTTTGACTTGTCCCTTTGTTCTGTGTTTCTTACGTGTTTGCAGCTGCAGATTGCAGCCTAACACGTAGGCATGAAAGTTGTGTAGAATTAAGCATACTGAAGGTTACAAGATGGAGTGACTTATGCTATGTTCCAACAATTTATATTGTAAAATTTTATAAAACTTTCAATAAAAAAAAGAAAAGAAAGAAAATGTATAATTTTCTATTAAATTTGAAAATAGAAGATGAACAAATAAAAGAAACAATGATAATATGGGTAAAAAGTTTTGGATATAATATAGATTTAGAGAAATGGCAAAGCCTGTGGGAAAGAAATTACAAACGTACAATGTCAACCTCTTATAAAAAAAAACCTATATAAAATGTTTTATAGATGGCACTTGCTACCAGCAAGATTAGCAAAAATGTTTAAAAATATGTCAGATAAATGTTGGAAATGTAATAAAAAACCAGGTAGTTATTATCATGTATGGTGGACATGTGTTAAAGCAAACATGTCAAACTCCAAACGTGACACCCCTGTATTAAAGCAAAGAAATATTGGACAAAAATACATACTTGGCCATAAAAGATGCTGGGAAAACATGTAGATTTTAAACCTGAACTTTGTAAATTAGGTATAATGCCAGAAAAGCTTGAAAAACGAAGTATATATCTGATTTTGCATGTGATAACAGCAGCAAGACTTATATTTGCACAACATTGGAAAAATGAAGAAATACCATCGGAATAAGAAATAATTAAAAAAATACTAGACTGTGCAGAAATGGACAGACTTACTTTGAGATTGAAAGAAAAAGAAGAAAAAGAATATTTTCAAACTTGGGACTTATTTTATCAATGGCCAGAGAAACGAACTAGCGATTAGGAATTTAATTTGTATTAGTGAATGATAAACCCAGACGACACGTTTGTTGAATAAGCACTATTGAATTGTATTTAAAAAAATCAATAAAAGCCGTAATCTCTCAACTTCCTTCATCTTAACTGTATCAAATTTGTATTTGTATATGGTTCGGGGGTCTTGGCTCCTTTAGCTTCTTAGAGCCTTTTGCTGAAATACTTCAATAAAAGTTCCTTGAACTCCTGTCTGGTTCTGATTGGCATCTGCGTCAGGCTAAACCCGGTTTGCGGACAACAGAGGAAACAAGTAAAGTAGTTCAAGGATTGCCTGGAAGGCCAAGGATCTGGATGGCCCTCCGCAGGGATTCCCCCTGACGGATTCCTACCTGGTACTCCTGGAGAGCCTCCTCCGCCGGGATTACCGAGTGGCCCCTGTGCTCTTGGGATAGGTTGCAGACCACGCAGATGAGGGTCTCGTGGTGCTTACAAAAGAGCTTGAGGGGCTCCCGGTGCTTCTGGCAGAGACTCCCTCCGTCCTCGCCCCAAGGGCCTCCGCATCGCCTGGCTATTTCCACCAGCCGCACCAGCTGCCTGTTGGGCAGGACGTTGCGGGGCCCGAAGGTCTGTCTGCACTGGGGACAAGAAGCCTCCGATTCCGACGTCCCCCAACTGCGGGTCAGGCAGCCCCGGCAGAAGTTGTGGCCGCACTCCGGGATGAGCACGGGGTCCTGGAAATAGTCCAGGCAGATGCAGCAGGTGGCTTCTTCCAAGAAATCCTCCATGGACGCTGCGGCCGCCATCGCTGACTCCTCCGCCGGGATAAGGAAAGAGAAAGTTAGTTTCTCGCCTTTTCCTGCAAATCAGGTGACCGCCTTTGGGCTCTGCCCAGAAGGGAAACCGAGACGGTCAGCTTCGGTGGCTTCTTAAAGGAGAACGACAGTATTTTAAAAAGAACAAACTGGGGAGAACCAAACATCCACGGGACGGAGCCCCGATCAATTACAACTGATCCCAGTGTGAGAAGGATCTATTAATCTGTATAGAATGTATTAGAACTGTTGTATAAGAAATATTGACCTAAGCTCTAATAAAGTTATCAATAGCTGACTGGAGCCTCATTAGAGAGGAGGGGGGGAAGCCGACAAGCCATAATAGAAAGGAAAACTTTTAAATTCACAAGCGAACATGATAATTAAATTCATCTTTTAAATTACAAAAACAAAAAAGCAAACACACAAAACTTAATTTTCACTAGGTAAACTTATTTATAAGGGAAAAGATTCAATGATCGCTTGATTTAATCAGCTCTTTTTCTGGGTTAATAAGAATGTTAAAAAATAGAACAAGGAACACCAATTAAGAAATTAATTTAGAATAATATAAATGTTGTTGCTAGAATATTTCATCTTTTACAGTCTACCTTCCCTGGGCTTTGACTCTTGGAAATAAAACTTCCTCCTCTTCAGGTAGCACCAGCATTTGAGTTTTTTTCCTTTCCCCGCTGAAATCCGGACCAGATTTTCTTCCCACACCAGCATCCTGTTAAAGGGGGGGGGGGAGTTTTTAAAAACTGGGGAGGACAAACATTCTTGGGATGCCTCCTCCGATCAATGATTGATCCAAGCATCCTGCTGAGCGAAAAGATATTGGGGAAAAACCTGGGGAGAAAGAAACATCCAAGGGACAGATTCCCAATTAATTATTATTTATCCAACTAGCTTGTTAAAGGGGAAAATGCTTCTAAAAACCTGAAGTCTTTAAGGGATGGGATGGAGTAAACTTGGAATGAAACAGACTGGGAGAAATTCTTGATAAAATCCCAAATCGAGTGCTGCAGTTGATAGGATGTCTCAGAGATAAAGGGGAAATTAAAATCCTC